CCGCCGGGACTCGGCACCGGGCGGGCGGAGCCGCGGGACGGGGATCCGGGAGGAGGGGCTGGGATAGGGGTACGGGACAAGGATACGGCACAGGGATACGGGACAGGGAACTGGAACTGCCATCCGGGACGGTGCTCCGGTGCACCGGGACAGGGCTCTGGAACAGGGATCCTGGACAGGGATCCGGGACGGGGAGCCTGGGCACCGGGACAGGGCACCGGGATAATGGGATGGGACCGTGCACCGGAGCGCTGGGGCAGTGCGCCAGGACAGTGCTGCAGGGCACAGGGACAGTGAACCTGTGCGCTGGGATGGTGCTCCAGGGCAATGCACCCGGACAGCGCGCAGGGACAATCCCCAGTGCCCCAGCACAGCGCACAGACACACTGCACCGGTGCGGGGTGCACCAGGATAGTGCAATGGAACGGTGCACCAGGACAGGGCTCTGGTGCAAAGCACTGAGCCAGTGCCCCCAGTGCTCCGGGACATTGCACCGGGGCACGGAGCGGTACATGGGGACAGCACACGGGGATGGCACATGGGGACAGCACACGGGGACGGCACACAGGGATGGCACATGGGGACAGCACACGGGGACGGCACACGGGGACGTTGCACTGGCCCACCTGGGCCGTGCAGCAGGACAGCGCAGCCAGGCAGAGCCCCAGAGAGCAGCAGGGCTGTGGGGGGATGCGGCGGGGCAGCAGGGCTGTGGCCTGGGCCACTGGGATAATCACCCAGGATACCGGGGTCACGCATGGGGACACTGGGGATGTACACCGTGACATCAGGACAGCGCACCAGGCGTGGGGACAGTGCACTGGGAGCACACATCAAGGGCCCCAGGGGAGTGCACCAGGGGACTGGAACATTGCACTGGGACGATGCACTGGGGCACTGGGACACTGTCCTGGGATGATGCACTGGGGCACTGGGACACTGCACTGGGACACTGGGACATTGCACTGGAATGATGCACTGGGGCACTGGGACACTGCACTGGGACACTGGGACATTGCACTGGGATGATGCACTGGGGCACTGGGACACTGCACTGGGACACTGGGACAATGTCACCAGGGCACTGGACAGGGCATGGTCCCAAAGCATGGGGAAGGGAGTGGCTGAGTCTGGCAGAGCAACTGGTTACTGTTAATTATTATCAAACTTTATTAATTATGATAGTAATGAAAGAATAGAATTTGGGGTCCTTGAGCCCCTGAGGTGAAGGCCCTCCCCCTCTGCTCTGAGGGCTTTCCTTGGAGGCAGGGTGCTGTGGGGACACAGGGGATGTGGGGACATGGGTGACCTGGAGGTGCAGGGTGCCCTGGGGATGTGGGGTGTTCCGGGGTTCCCTGGGGCCACCTGGATCCCACCCTCACCAAGGGTGGGGTGCTAGGAGGGGGGTGCAAGGCAGGTTTCAGCAGCCCTGCTCCATGCTTCATCATCACCCCCTGCTCTGGTTTTCCTACATTTTGGGGGATTTCCCTTAATCCCAGTTTCAAATCCCAAATCCAAGTGAGGGGACACACCCCTCAAAACCCCCTAATTCCCCTCCCATGTCCCCTGGGGGAACATTTCCTCTATAAATTCAAGATCCAGGAAAAAAAAAAACCAAAACCAAACAACAAACACACAAAACTAACAACCAAAAAACAGCAAAGCTCTTTAAACCTCCTGCCATTTCCAAGCTCTGACTCAGGATTTCTGCTCCGGACGGCGCGCGGGGCCTCGCTGGCTCTGACTCACTGCAAAAACCAGCCCCGAATCCCAAGCGGTGATTCACGGGGACACGTGCTGTGCTATAAGCGGCCGGGAATGCAAGTTGCTGCTTTCCATGGGGCTCCTTCCAAATCGCTCGCGGGCGGTAGAAAATAGCAACGCCGTGGGAGAGGGGGAATTGCAACCGGGATTTATTGTTGCTGAGGATTTTGCAGCGAGAGGTGTTTATCCCGGTCGTTTCAGCAGGTCAGTGCATCCGTTGCCGAATTCCTGGCAATGCAGTTCCCATGGGAGGAAGAGGACTTGGAGCAGAGCCCAGTTATGGGGTTGCAAGTGCATTTTTGGGGTGGCTGCAGCTGCTAAAGGTTTTTGGCAAAGAAGGATACATTTCGCATAAATAAATTGAATATATTTTGCAACTCCTGGAGTGGTAACAGCCTCGACCCAAACAGGAGGGGGCATTGCCCTGGGCTGGTGTCCCCATGTCCCCAAAGAATTTAGTCCTTGTGTCCCCATGTCCTCCAAACACGGCCAAGGGGCTGCCCAGATGTGGCCCCCACCTGGCCAGGTGTTGGGGGGGGGTGAGGATTGCCCAGGTCTTGACCTGCAGCACCTAGATACCATCCCAGGGTGCCCAGATGTTGCTCCAGGTGTCCAGATGTTGCTCCAGGGCAACCAGGGATCACTCAAGATGCTCAGATGTTGCCTTGCATGTGCAGGTCTTGCTCCAGGGCAACCAGAAATCACCCAGGATGACCAGATGTTGTCTTGGGTGTCCAGATATTGTCTCAGGACACTCAGATATGACTCATGATGGTCAGATGTCATCCCAGGGTGTCCAAATTTTATCCCAGGATACTCAGATATCACTCAGGATGCTCAGATGGTGCCATGGGTACCCTGGTGTTGCCCTGTATCTACAGATGTTGCTCCAGGATACACAGAAATCACCCAAGATATCCAGATGTTGCTTCAGGGTGTCTAGGTGTCATCCAGGATACTCAGATATCACCCAAGGTGCACAAAAGTTGTCCTAGGGTGTCCCAGTGTTGCCTCAGGGTGCCCAGATGTTGCCCTAGGTGTCCAGATATTGCCCTGGGATACTCAGGTATCACCCAGAGTGCCTGAAATTTACCCCCAGGGTGCCCAGACATTGCCCCATGCTCCCCTGCCGTCACCCCTGGGTGCCCAACTGTCCCACCCAGGGTCTGGCAGCCGTTGGCAGCACTGCTGCCACCCCGGCCCTGGGGAAAGTCACCACCTGGAGTCACGGTTTCCTCTCCCTGTGCCATGGCTCCTGGTCCCCACGGCCCAGCCAGGCCTGGGGTGGCCTCTCGGACCCCCCCCACACCACAGATTTTTGCAAGAAGCTGTGCTGGGTGGTGGAAAATCCCCCCTTGTCAGCTCCGTGACACGCTATGGGCTTGACATCAAAGCCTGGTTCTGCCTCTGCTCCGTCAGCCATCGCCCCTGCCGGGGCTGGGGACATGGGGTCTTCCCCCACAGCACCCATCGCTCCCGCCCCACCTGCCCTCAGCAAGTGGTGGCTGTGGGGACGGTGGGAACGTGTGAAAGTGCAGGGAATTGGGGTAAATTCACAAAACACGCTTGCACGGGCACCCGCTCAGGCAGGTGTATGGCTGCACAGACATGTGTGCGCGCAGCTGTGTGTGCACATGCGCATGGATGTGCGTGCACACGTGTGTGCGTGGCTGTGTACACACATGCATACCAGCATATGTGCCTGCACACACGTGTGTTTTCTTTCATAGGTGTGTACGTGGCTGCACACACATGCATACACATCACATGCACACACACCACGTGCACACACGTACACATCTGTGCACACACATGCACACATCTGCATGCACACATGCACATGGCTGCACACACATACATGGATGTACAGACACACAGACACACATGTGTGGGGCCCTTGGACTGGGGCCTGACTGGGGACATCACTGCCCAGTTCGTGCTGCTGCCAGTCACCAGACCCCGCCGCTGTCCCACCGGTGGGGACCGTCACCGGGGGGGTCACACCGGCTGCCTGCGGCCCCTCAGTCCCGGTGTCCCCCTGCCTGTGGAGACACGGCAGGTTTAGGTGCCCGGTGTGACGGCAGAGGGGTCCTTGTGGGTCCCCGCTGTCCCCCGGTGTGATGGCAGAGAGGATCCTGTGGGTCCCCCCCTGTCCCCAGGCTAGTGGGTGTCCCCTGGGTCCCCGCTGGCAGTTCTGGGGTGCCACTGGCAGCAGGCAGCCGTGTCCCCCGGGAGAGCGGGGTCCCCCGTGGAGCTCGGGTCCTCTCAGGCTGGTCCCTGGTGCAGATGCACCCCCGGGGGGCTACACCCGGTGCAGGGAGGGACCCCCCTGTGCCATTCCTCAGCACAGAACAAATCCCGGGGTGCACACCAGGACCTCGGGCCCTTCCCGGTGCAGACCGGACCCCGGTGCAGCCCCGTCCCGGCACAGCCCCGTCCCGGTGCAACCCACCACCGGCAGCCACCGCTCGGCCCGGGCCGGCACAAACGGTTAACACGGCCGGAGCTGAAATGTGGCTCCTCCCGGTACCTCCCCGCGCCCGGCCCCGGTCCCGGCGAGGCCGCCCAGCCCCAGCCCAGCCCCAGCCCCG